TCATTAGGAGAAATAAGAAACATCGAAGCCCTGGGCGAGGACGCCATAGTGATATAGGCTCCAAAATGTAGAGGAGAATCGCTACTCAAATCGAATAACTCCTTTGCAGTGGAACGTCACAATGATACTTCTCCATTTCCATAAAAAAGGCCAAGATTTTTATCAATCAAGGGATAGGAGAGGCTTTAGGAAAGGTTACGAGACACATGACAATTAAAAAGCAATTAAAGTCCTTATAGAAAAGTCTGCGGAATACAATAGACCCTTGGCCTTGTTATTTATCGATTTCCAGAAAGCATTCGACACAGTAGAATTAATTTCAATCATACGAGCACAGGAGCAGTGTAGAATAGATTATAGATCTACAAGTCTCATATAAAACATATGCTTCACGAAACAACAGGTGGAGTTAAAGTAGGCAGAGGAGTTCGACATTTCGATTAAATTTTTCAAAGCTGTCCTCGAATGCGCAATAAAATCACTACTTTGGGAAAATAACAGCATCAATATTGATGGCGAAACGCTGACACACCTCAGATTTGCAGATGATGTCGTTCTGGTCACATAATATCGGCGATGCAAAGCAGATGCTGAAAAAAAAAATAATAATAAAAATAGTACCTACATGCCTTATCAAAAGTCAACCATTGAATAAATCCGATTAAGTCCCAAATAATAACAAATCTAGTGATTGCACAGAAAATCAGAATAGGCGACTCCGAGATAAACGAGTCGCTGGAGCATTTCAAAATTATAGCTATTAATGTTATTTGATCTTGCTCTTTTTTTCGTTTGTTGAGTGGCGTCCCATAAATCTGACTTATTGTAGGTATGTTTAATTATCTCATTCTTGTGTCTGTAAACAATTTGCTCACGTGATATGCAGTTTGTATTTGCCTTAAATAACTCACCATTTCAATGTGTGAGGAGTCTGGATCAGTACCGACAAAAGAAATGGGCAATTCTCAAATATATTAGGGAAGTCTGATATAAGTTTACGTAATTTTGAGTTATTTCAAGTACCTATTCTAGCTTGTTAAAGTCTGTTTTTTTATTAAAGATAATTCCCCAATTCAAAAATTTAGAAACTATGTTGGCAACACAAGCCTTTTCCACGTGAAAAAATTGAAAGCATTGCCAATTTTACATTGTATTGCCAACATAATGTCATTTTGAATTTTATCATTGAAAAAAAAAAAAAACAGATTCTACCTTAGTAAAGACCCAAGAAGATTTCCAATAATTAACGAACGTCCCCTCATTTGAAACTTGGGTATTATTATTCAAGGTTAAGATGCATATATTTTTACATTTCCAAATGAGTGTTTTCGTACTACGACTTCAATTAGGTCACGGTCAAGTTCACAGCGCAACATGTTTCGAACGCATTTTTAGGATTACTCCGGTACGTTTTTGGTTCGAGCAGGTTCACGGAACCGTGCCACGCTTTTTCGCTGATTAAGAAAAGTTTATAAAAAAAAAAAAAAATTTAAAAAAAATTAAAGTCGAAAATAAAAAAAATAAAAATAAAAATAAATGAACAAAGAACTTGAGATTGTAAGACTAAAGGTCGAAGTGCGTGCAAATTATGCCCTAGCTCAGAACTAAACAATTCGGAGAGTAGGGGTGGGTTTTAGTTTGGGCGCCACCGACTCTGAACAGATGAGTCGGACTCTCCAGGATGGTATCTGGCTTCAGGTCCTTACAATTCAAATAATGATTAATAAAAAGAAAAATATTAGCAAAACCAGGCTGTGTGCATAAAACCAAATAAAAGTCAAGAAATCAAGTGCTACAGTTGTTTATTCACCAAATGGCCGCAGTCCACAATGAACATTAATTTGAATTTAAGGAAAAAAATAAATAATAATCAAGTAAATGTAAGTAATAAGTAATTAATAAAATGACAAGTAAATGTAAGTAGTAATTAATAAAATGACCTTGTCATGAAGTGTCAACCAACAAATACAGATACGATACTATAGTCATGAAGCGTTAGCTAACAAATACAGAAATGCATTACTATAGTCATGAACAGTTAAATTTAAATGCAAACATGTTATTGAAACTCAATAACTAACTGAGTAATTAAAAAAAGGTATTATGAAAAGTGAGGTTTGAAAATCAAAAAAAAAAAACAATAAAGAAAATAAGAAAAAAAAAACTAATAACGCAGAATTAGTTCTCGGAACGGTTATCTTACACTTACGTAACCAGAACTACCAGTAAGTTGACCTTAATTAATCAGGTTATGTCTAGTTAAGTTACCTATTTAATAATTCATTTACCACACTGGGGGCAAGCAATGAATTATACCCTGAAATACCGAGGTGATCACCGGGGTGTACAAATAGGGACAGAGTGTAAATAAACAATAATAATCAGGATAACTAAAACTAGTACGATACCAAAATGTTCCAGATGATGGTGGCTCATTCAATTAACCAGATTAGTCCTGGCTACTGGCTGTGGTTAACTTGATTGATGACTTGAGTAACCGTCCGATTACTTAGGCTGGTGTATGTTAGCCTTTTGGTTCAATTTCGATTACAATTGAACATCTTTTGTTATAACCGCGAGGTAAACTTGATGGTAAAGTATAACCCCTCGTGAAAGAAAACCCTAAGAGAAAATATTGTTATACCCACTGTATTTGTAATTGAACCAACAGCGAAGCACTTCATGAATGAATCGAATCAGAAAATGAAACTATAATGATTAGTTTCCAATAGCAAATTTACTTGATAAAAGACTATAGCTCTTGAAAATTATTTTAATAGAAAAATTGAACAATAATGAATTAATTAATCAAATTCGATGGAATCCTAATAAAGCCTTGATATTAATTAAGAAAAATGTGCCTCGAATTTGCAAAAATTGTAATAAGGTTATGTTTTTTTACCTGATGGAAATAGGGCTCGTTTGCCTCGAAAATCTCTGGAAATCTGGATCGAGGATTGGATTTCCTAGAGAGAGTGAGAATTCTCTACTCCTTAGGGCAGCTTTCAACTAAATTAAATTGAAAAAGTCAGAATCTACTATAGGAAAAAAACGTGTAAGCAGCTTACCACATGGAGTTGTAAAAATCCGAATAAATCGGCGAAAATTATAACACTACGAAAACGTAAGGCAAAAAGGCAACTAAAATGTTATAATTTCAAATGAGAATTTAGGGTCGAAATCCCACAAGGGCGAAGACAATCTTCATAAAGACCCTAATTCTCCAACGTCCAGATGTGAAAAGAAATGTGTTACACATTCAATTAATAAGCTAACCTAAAGGGAGGAATTCAGACTCAGAGATGATTGAGAGTAACGACAAACATCAAAAAAAATTAATCGATAGAATTTTACTTACCAAAAATTGCACACAACAATATAATCCGAGAAAAATGACAACGGCCAATGAATAATGATATTAACAACAAATAATCATCCCATAAAACAATCAAAACTTGAAGAATACAAAATAGAGTAAATGATCCATTTGCAAAATTAGAGGGCTTAAAAGAGAATCGACGATACTAAAAACATTACTAGTCGACCGCTGGTTGACAGAAATTTTTGACAATCAAAAGTCAAAGAAACGAAATCAAGGAGTGCGTTCAAGATATCTCAAAGAACATCGAACCAATGCGCGACCCGGGGTTCGCTAGAATTTGCTCCGAGATCCACAGCGCTCGACAACCGAACAGAGCTAGTACGAACGGAGCAGTTCGGCACATCCACTTGAAAACGGGTCATCATGATTACGGAACACGACATATTTTTGACACATGAATTAATTATTTTTATGAAACAGATGATCGAATTTAAAATCGTAATCAAAATATTGCTTTGTTTTGATTTAGAATTGAATTAAAATATGGATTAAAATGAGGAAAAACCATTACAGCAAATAGAATTTGACTATGGAAAATTAGAAAATTTAAAGGATCTACAACCGTTGAGATTATTGATGAAATTCTATAGAGAAAATGTTGACAAATTTAAGGAAATCTTGAATATAAAATTGAAAGTAGGTAAGAATTATTTATGCAATTTTGGCCTGTTACAACCGAGCATAAGCCAATTGGAGCAATTAAGTTCTAGACTAACAACTTTAGAGTAAATATCGGTTCCTGACAGCATTTTGACTAGTTTGAGGTTGCTAATTTTTTCGATCCTCTTCCGATGTGGTCGTTGCCCAAGGGCATCTATCTTTTTTTTTTGTCTAGATCGTGGTAGCGACCAGATCATCTTGTCTTGCATTTAGAGTTTTGCCAAGTTGGAAGTATTTTGAGTTTTCTGCCGTGGAGGCCCAGATTGTAGGCAGGTTTGCCTTCGATTTCGTCTGGAGCCTATCCATTGGGTCGATTTTGTCCAGTCACCTAACATTCAACACGTGCAATTCTCTTTCATATGGAAACAACTTTGTCATTTACGGCCTCCGTTGTGAGAATTAATCCGTTTGGAAGGTCTATAGAGTTCCCTCATTAGAGGTAGGTAAGCATTTTTCTAAACTTATTGGCTCGAGCTAGATTCTCACACAAACAAAGGAGAGAGTACTCCAGGAGATACCTAGGTACTGAAGACCTGTACTAAAACATACCTTAGTTCCCGACTCTTGAGTTACCTCTGGGCGATATTCGGGTTCCCCAAGCTTTGTCCAGACTTCACCCAACAAAAGTGGAACAAAATACAATTCACGCCTTCTGTAGTTTTGGGCGATACCTCAGGATGAAGTTATTACGTACCGACTTTGTTTCACAAGCCCGGAAAACAAAAACTACAGTAAACGGCCGTGAAAGTCTTCATTTTTTAGGGTGAACACTAAAGCAGAATAAGGAAGAACTATTGCACTCAGCGACATATCGGTGGCGTATATTTTTATTCATACTTACTGTGCACTAGTGTCGGTGAATTGTTCAAATGCTTACAGTCAAATTTATTAAATTTGGATTGAGTTTAATGCTAAATAATTTGTAGCAGATAGCATTTCATTGTGTCTGTATATTTGTATATAAGTTCAAATACAGTTTGGTAGAATCATACAAGTAGTTCATTTTATCCAGACAACTTTCAGCTGGAAGAGTTTATGGATAAAATACTGGTTCAAATTCAGGCCACACTATCGGATCAAGAGGTAGTAGCTCTACATACTCTGGTTCAGGATCAATATCCTCAATTGATACAGGATCTTCCCATATCTCAATAGGCCATAAAGGAAAATCGCACAAGGGCCAAAGTTCAATTTCAACTGTATCAGTAGATTGGACTGTAGTTGTAGCAGCTACTGTGGTAGATGATTCAGTACTGTTGTTGGTGGATTCATCAATTTCTTGACGTTCTAAATAACAAGAATTTATTATCTTAACTGAGCAATGGTAAGCTTGCTTTTGTAGAGTAAATTTTACCTATAATAGCAGCTCCACGAGAAGCACACAATAAAGAAGTAAAACATAAAAATAAAGGTACTTTAAACTCCATGCTTATGGCTGTTATTAAACAATGCAATAGGTAGACTTATTTTACAAATATCTAATGGTATCATTAGACCTTGCCAGTGCGACACAAAATTATTGTTTTTATCTATTGATCACCTTCAGGCTTGTACTATATATTTGTTTTATAATAAATTAAAAATTGCGTACCATACTTCAGAATTGCTATTATGTTATCCATTAAATTTCAAACAATATTTATGGCATTATGTAGTATGTCGTAGATAATGAAAAGTTATAATGCATGCAGTAGTAATTTGTTTATTTAGGCTTCGATTTCTATTTTCTACTAGGTACTTCGAATTAGATAATAGGTGATTTGATAATAAAATGCGGCGATGATGATGATGATGAGAAAGCCTTTAATAAATATAGGCCAAGCAATGAAGGAAGTTTACCTCAACATAATTGGAAGTTAACATTTTTTGGGGGGGATCGGTTCATTTTCATGTGCTTAATAACATATTGACTTTGCGACCTTGTACTTCCATAGGGTTTTTAGTTAGGGGTGGTTTTTAGGGGTAATTTGCGGTTTATGGAGAACGCAGCTCAAAGGGATGGTCCAATAGCAAAAAGTTTCAAATGAATGTTGTGGCTGAAGTTTTTTGCTATAAAAAACTCAGCGACAGCACCCTTCTATCTGCTATAGTTTTTTTTCTGCAGCGTCTTGAATACTAGCATGTTTTTATTCAAGGTCACTGAATCAACTTTTTACCTGTTTGCGCGCGTTTGATGCAGCAGCGGCTAAATGCATAATCCGATTTAATTTTTTTAAACACCACATTATTGCTAATGAAATGCACTCTCCAATGCTTTTTTGTTCGAATTTTTTGCTTGAAAATTAAGCGAGCACGGACTTGGCTAATGTGCGAGGAAGTTGTAAATTGCATCGAAAACTACCCCTTTCTAGCATTCACTGTAATTTCTAAACGGGGCCAAATATTTGGTGACAGTTTTCGACAATCGGCAGCCCATTTATTCCTCTCATATTGCCACAGCGGATTTTTTTTTTCGTTAATTACTCATTGACTTATTGGCCTGAACACGTCGCGCGGAATTTTTCAAAAAGTCGAAAAAAATTAAAATTGTCGCACGGCGCTGAAATTTGGTACGATGGCTTTTTTTATTGTTTTTATGAACATACTGAAATTTTAATTGATTCACATTGCAGTATATTCATGAGAACAATAAATAATGCCATCGTACCAAATTTCAGCGCTGGTGCGACAATTTTAATTTTTTTTGACTTTTTGGAAAATTCCGCGTGACGTGTTTAGGCCAATAAGTCATTGAGTAATTAACGAAAAAAAAAATCTGCTGGGGTAATATGAGAGGAATAAATGGGCTGCCGATTGTCGAAAACTGTCTACAAATATTTCGCCCCGTTTAGAAATTACAGTGAATGCAAGAAAGGGGTATTTTTCGATGCAATTTACAACTTCCTCGCGCATTAGCCAAGTCCGTGCTCGCTTAATTTTCAAGCAAAAAATTCGAACAAAAAAGCATTGGAGAGTGCATTTCATTAGCAATAATATGGTGTTTAAAAAATTGAAATCGGATTATGCATTTAGCCGCTGCTACATGAAACGCGCGCAAACAGGTAAAACGTTGATTAAGTGACCTTGAATAAAAACATGCTAGTGTTCAAGACGCTGCAGAAAAGAAACTATAGAAGATAGAAGGGTGCTGTCGCTGAGTTTTTTATAGCAAAAAACTTCAGCTACAACATTCATTTGAAACTTTTTGCTATTGGACCATCCCTTTGTGCAGCGTTCTCCACAAACCGCAAATTACCCCTAAAAACCACCCCTAACTAAAAACCCTATGGAAATACAAGGTCGCAAACTTAATATGTTATTAAGCACATGAAAATGAACCGATTCCCCCCAAAAAATGTTAACTTCTAATTATGTTGAGGTAAACCCTCTTTTTAGATCCCCGTTTCTTGGACTAATAATTTAAACTTCATTTATGTTTTTAGGAAACCACGGAAAATTACATTTCCCGCACTATTTTTGATAGAGAAAGATGTAGGTAGGTACTAGGAAATTTCCTGTATAATGAAGTAGCTATTTTTTTATGTACCTATGTATTGTTTTGCATTTAATTTAGTTTATAAACCACTCTCATTTGAAACAACGCTGTATAATTTTCAGGCGAAATTGGTAGTTAATAATTTCTGTCAATGTAATATTATACTCCAATGAAAATCTCCATTTCCTTCTCAAGATAAAGTTAACTTCGATGCTTTTGCATCTCAGCTTGCTTCCCAATCTGTCGACAGTTATGAAACAATTCCCACCTTGGCATGTACCTACTTAGTTGAATAAAATAAAATTATAATTTTAGGTAGAGTTCCAAGTATTTCTATTGATTATTGTATTCTCAACCTCTGGCAAGATAGCTAGACCGCAGAATAATGTCTAAACTATTTCTTGAATGGCAATGTCCGAGTCAAAATCAAATACCTATGTCGAATACACAGAATTTCTATTAGGTCAAATTATATTAGTATTCTTATAACTAATTTTGCGTCTTCCCAGAAGAATACGAATTTTCGGTTATTAGTATGATGGGGTATCATAAAAATTTCATTCCAGTGCAGAGCAAAATGAAAAATGAAAGTCCTTTTTTCAACTTCACAAATTGTATATTTCTACTAGCTGACCCGGCGAACTTCGTACCGCCTCTGATTTATTAAATACCTATTAAATGTCGTGTTAACGTATCTAGTAGCTGAATTAAATTCAGTTTTTTTCGATGGTGAATTTGGCCTTGGTTAAAGAAAATTAATGTTTACTCTCTGGATCAGAAATCACCTAAAATTAAAATTTTAGGTACATCATTCCTTTTTAGACACCTTGTGGGCATTATTCTTGTAAAGTGTACCACCAAATAAATAAACTCAGGCACAGGAATGTTCAAAGAATGTAAAGAAAACAAAAAAATCATCTGAATCGTCAATAACCACTGATTCAAAAATTCATATTTATTCACACAATTAACACAGGATCAAATGTAAATAAAATAATATCGGCCTGCACTGCCATATTGAATCATGTGATTTGGATTGCCTAATGAAATACCATAATAATAACGTATCACAATATTCACAAAATTTGTACTCACCCTTTTCGGGATCGAAAACTAAATGAAGGTTTCTATCATGTATCATAGATGGCGTCATATACGGAATGGTATTACCGTGCAAATGGTATTACAAGAGTGACTAAATAAGCCTTATCTACAGTGGCGACAAAAGAGCTCCCGCCGCCATTTTGTGCCCTACCGCTTGCTACTTTTAAATATGAATATATAGGATTTGAATGGACATCCATCATAAAAAAATTGAAAACAACGTATTTGATTTACCTCATAATAGTCATCAAATACGTTGTTTTCAATTTTTTTTTATTGATAACCTATTTTACTTATTTAAAGTACTCCTCAGCGTGTTTAAATCCAACATTCAAAAACGCGCGTGTTTTAATAAAGTTACCATGACAACATCAACAACCCAAGCAAGGTAAAGTCTTAACGTCAACTTTTTAATTATTGATTTATTAGACGACAGGTATACCAGATGTCATATTACGAATTAAGCATTCTACAACTATTAGTAATTTATGATTTGAACGTATAGGTACCAATAAAAAAAAATAGTGTAAAGTATTCGTGGATAACTGGTCTATAAAACACTTGCTCTATTCGAAAAATCGCGCGTGTTTTAAAGACCTTAATATCCACTTATACTTTAATATACTATTATGATGGATGTCCATTTAAATCCTATATATTCATATTTAAAAGTAGCAAGAGGTACGGCACAAAATGGCGGCGTTTCCCATATGAATATATAGGACTTTAAAAAACCAATCAAAAATAAGATAGCAATTGTCGCTACTGTGAATGGTATGTAATGAAAGAAAATTACCGCGCAATCTGATGATAGAAGATATAAAAATTGAAAAGGATCCACCTGGATTTTCTCGAAAATGATTAGGAAATTAAAAAAACGCCGAAATACGTCGATTTTGTTTGCAAGGGGGACACTTTTTGGCTATTTCAAATTTTTTCTAGATTGCACCCCCTTACCGGGGTGAGTTGAACCCTCAAAAGTTGAATAGGGAAACGGGGTCGAGTGGTACCTTGTTAGAGAGGTATTTGAGATGACTTTACAGATCTGTCATTTTTTTCGAAATCTGACTTCTAGTTTTCAGGATATTCGCCTCGGAAGTTGCCATGGGACGAAAAGAAAACGTGTTTTTCGTGAAAAAATGAAAAGTGGGTCATGTTTGAAAGGTTGTTCAAAAGGTTCAAACTAACAAAGAAACAAAGGTTCAAAATAAACAAAATTGACGTGTTTCAGGAATTTCAATTTTTCTTGTAGAAATGTACGAAAAAACACGTTCTCTTTTCACCTCAAGGCAACTTCCGAGGCGAATATCTTGAAAACTAGTAGTCAGATTTCGAAATAAATTACAGATCTGTAAAGTCATCTCAAACACCTCTCAAACAAGGTACCACTCGACCCAGTTTCCATATTCAAGTTTTGAGGGTGCAACTCACCCCGGTAAGGGGGTGCAATCTAGAAAAATTTTGAAATAGCCAAAAAGTGTCCCCCTTGCAAGAAAAATCGACGTGTTTCGGCGTTTTTTAAAAGTCCTGATAATTTTCGAGAAAATCCAGGTGGATCCTTTTTAATTTTCCACCCTGTATACTATAATACCACAAGAGAAAAAATTTTGTTGGCAAAATTTTCGACTGGTATGAAACTTTGTTGCTTGGCAATTTCGCGAATGACATTTTCATGAGCGAAATTACCAAAAAGCTACAAACTTGAATAAAACTTAGAGAATAATTTTGCCTACATAATTTTTTCTTGAGTGGTATTCGGCTAGACTATTTCACGAGAAAAACAAGCCAAATTTTTATTTGGAAAATTTATTTTCCTACGAGCGTGCGGAGAAGTTACTTTTTTTACACGATTTTTCGTTTTGAAAGTTGTACTTTTCCGCACGATTTTATTTTTCCGCACGATTTTACTTTTCCGCACGATTTTACTTTTCCGGACGATTTTTTTTTACTT